GACGTCCCCGCTGGGGCCTGCCGCCTCCTGCCGGCGCCTTTCCTCTCTCGGAGAGCGGGGTAAGGCGCGGGTTGCCGGGAGCTGCTTTTCCTTACGCGGGCTCTTCTCCCCGTCTGAAGAAACTCGGCAGCGTGCAGTGCCCTCCCTCAGCTCCAGGGGCAGCAGAGCAACCTTCCTGCCCGTTCTGTCCGTACGGCTTCATGTCTGCCTCAGAGAGATGACTTCTGCGGTGACAGTTCAGTTCCCGTGGCCTGTTGTAGTCACTGAAGTCTCAGCTGAAACAGCAGTTGGTCCCAGTGTTTGTGATGATTCACACTGGCGTAGCAATGGCTCTTTTTCCTGGAGAGTGAAATTGCCTGTTGCCTTAGTGCTTTATCAGGGTAAACGACATCTAAACTGCTCAACGGCATCTCTTGAGTAACTGGCAGCCTGGAGTTGTGTCAGTATGCAACACTGCATCATCCTGGGAACTTGTTTGAAAAGCCAGATTGTAATCTTTCCCTTAGCACTGTAAAAGTACAAAATGCTGTAGAATAAGATTTATTATAAAATAGAGCCGGCTGACATTAAATATATTGAGAAATACTTTACTTGAGTCTAGCCCCCTCCCTTTTTTTTCCTTTTGTTTGCCCAGTGATGCTTAATGTATCTTCTGATCAGTTCCTTCTGGCACAATAGTATCTTATCCCATGCTGAGTGAGTGGAATGTTAAATGTGTTCTGTGCTCTGCAGATCCCATCTCCAAGGTCCTGCCAACCTAATGGAGCCAGTGAAGAAGCCCTGCAGTATGAAATTGAAGAGCTGAAACAGAAAGACCTCGCTCTAGACCAGGAAATTGCACAATTTTTGTCTGAGTATGTCCTTGGCAAGCTCAATGTTCAGTGTGAGGCCTCAGCCTTTTTACCTTTAAAACTAAACGTGGCCCAGGAGTTAGAACTAAAAGCTGACCTGTTACATTGGTTGTTTTATCATATTGTTATGTAATGCTCATTACAATATTGTTTGAATTATGGGACCAGTTAAAGACAACAGGGAATTCTTTCCTGTTTATTTGGTAAAGCAAAGAAAGCAATATTACAGCTGAGACGAGAAGACTTTTGACTTAACCTCAGATGTTACTGTAAACTGGGAATGACTAATTTGAACCATCAGGATGCTACGTGTTGTGTTACCAAAATTGCTTGCTCATATGGAATTGAAAATGGAGATCATGACTTTTGACCTGTTCAGATTAAACTGTTTCCCTTGTTCCATGTGGATGTGGTGCTCACTTGTTCTGTGTCTGAGGTGAGCTGTTGGAAGTATTGACCTTTGTGTTCAAGAAGCAGGGGTGTTTTCCTGACAAGCAAATGCCCTGCAGAACATTTTGGCTTAATGGGTGCCGCATACAGGATAGTGCAGCTGTTTTAGTGTGATTCCTTATGACACATTTTGGGATCACCAGGGTTTTCTCAAACTATTTTGGGATTTTTCAGACTGGTTTGAGAAAAAATTGCTGTGTGTGGTTTTTTTTTTGGGGGGGGGGGGGGGGTGTTTGGT